ACCTTTGCACAGTACTGTATATTATCATTTTAGCATATTTCCTAATGTTTCACTTGGATATAGAATTGGTATGGCAGTGTTACACAGAGGAGAATAATACTATTGTAACAAACTCAGTTAATCAATTATTTATTAATTCATAAATAAGACATAGGTAGCAAGCTATACTACAGTGGGAGCCAGTTTGGTGTCATGGTTCAGGTGCTGGCCTAGAAACCAGGAGACAGTGAGTTACAGGCTTCCCTTATGTATGAAAGCTGGGTGACTTTGGGCCAGGCACTCTTTTTCACCCCACCCCACCCCACAGGCTTGTTATTGTGGGGAAAACAGGAGGCAGGAATATTTGGTATGTTTGCCACCTTAGTTATATATGGATAAAAATATAACAACAGTAAATATAACAACAACAACAACAGTTCTTCTAATTTATTGTCCATAGTTGTAAGTCATTTGCCTTGTGGTTGCAGACCACTATCTGTGTAACAGTTTGTTAAAAATATCTGTGGTAACAACACATCAGAGAAAAAAAAATCTAATCAAATTATACAAGGTCTAAGAAGTTTGATGCTGGACTCTGAAACATCAGCTCTGCCCTTTGTGGCCCTGGGACTTGGGAAGTCAAAGGTTATCTATTCCCATTCAACTCTGAAGTTACCTGCTCTTTTAACAGCTGTTCACAGGCTTCATGTAGGGTTCCTGTTTTGGTTGAGACAAAGAGGTATTGGTGCTGTAATGATTTAAGGTGCTGAAGAGCACAATTCACATCATTCAGTATAGCATCACATTGCTCTTCAAATCCAGAATAATCAGCCCTGGCCAGCCTGGAGAAACAAGCATACACACAAGAGTACATTTAACTGTTTGTGGCAACGGAAGAATCAATAGAACAATATAGAAATTTTGGATGATAATCCATGTAGCTCTGTTGTATAATAATATATGGTAATTCTATGTATACCACGGTCCATAGTATGTTTGAGGCACCAGGACAGGTGGAGAGGGAGACAGTAGAAAAGAAAGTTCATTGAAAATTCAATAGTTTCAAATGTAAAAAGCACAGATAATTCCACTCACAATACTTTGCAGTCTTTACAGATCCACAAAAGGGAAGGCTAAGATATACTATCAATAAAACTGTTTCATCCTTAAAAGGTATACACCTGTTCTGGCATTTCCATGCAGCTACATAACTGACACAATTGTCATCTATTATTTCATTCTTCTTTTCTATTCTATTTCTCCCCCCACAATATGTATTTCCCAGTTTGAAAGGAAGAATTTATATCCCAAACACATCAAACTGTAATGAAAGGTATTTTTTTATAGGAAAAAGTGTTTTTGATCCTTTGGGTTTTGCATGGGAAGTATCTAAATGTCTCTTTGACTAAGAAGCTAGCTGGGGCACCTTAAAAGAAACAATTTAAAATACTCCTGAAGAAACCTACCATAGACTCTTAAGGTAACAATTACCACTCAAACACAGACATCCCTTTTTTAAGCCCTGTTTACATGACATGCTTAAGTGGCCAGGTTTGGGCTGTGTGTGTGTGTAAGAATGTCATGCCTGCATTCTAACTCAATTAATTAACAAACACAGCTAAGCCAAAGACAGTTTTTGCCCAAACTCCCATCCACTCAGCTGTGTTTTTACTTACTAGGAAGTTAACTGGGGGAAGACTGCCTGTCTCCAGTAATTTCTGCCCACTCAGTGAGACTGGGCAGAGTGGGAGCTGCCTGGGTCCCCTTAATTAAACAATGCAATCTAGTGGGACCCCAGATCCTCTGGAACAGCATCTCCCCAGAGACTCGCATGGCTCCCACCCTGCAAGGGTTCTACAAGTCTTTAAAAACGTGGCTTTGCTCTCAGACCTGTGGTTAGGTTGTTTGTCAGGCCCCTGCGAGTTTTTTTTTTTTAATGTATTGGATGATTTTGTCTGGGTGTACATATCCTTTTCTCTTTTTTATCCTTTTCTCTTCTTTTTAACTATGTAAGCCATCCAGAGTCATTTGGGAGTCAGGCAGCCTTCTAAATCTAGATAAATAAACAGATCATTAAACTGTCCCTTCCCAATTCTGAGTAGCAAAGTATTTGCTATCCCCCAAACAGAGAACAATGCCGTCTTTCTTCTTTTTGCTTCCCCTGCCCTGCCCAAGGGAAATGCAGGGTGGAAAAGGGGGCTAAAAGGGTGATGTCCACCAAACAAACAAACAAACCTCTGTGGAGTCCTTGGGTTTCTCTGAGCTTGGCTCTTTTCTTGCAAACGTTTCATTACCCAGCTAGGTAACATCTTCAGTGCTAAAATGGGATGGGGTTTGCTCTCTATTTATGTGCTGTGGCCTGCCTTACCAGTGGTGGGGGTTTTGTTTTGTTTTGCTCCTCTGGTAGTTCTTTGATTGGCATGTGTTTGCTGCGTGATTGTATGCCTGGTGGTAACCTTTGCTTATCTGGGTGATGATTGCTGATGATGATTGCTGGTGAGGCGATCTTCTGGTCTTTTGTCTCTTTTGAATAGTATGTAGATGCTGTTACAGGGCTGTTACAGGATGCTGTTCAACTCCACAGATGAACCCTGAGCTACACATATTCACCTCTATTGAAACAAATCTCTCTCTCTCACACACACATTTTTATGAAGCTGAGCTGACCCAATCATTCTGGATCAACAGGCAGAGAGACTATGATTGGCCAGTCATGTCATAGACAATCAGCAGTGGAAAAGGTTTTGGAACAATCAACTGAATGAGTTATTTGGATTCCTCTGAATCTAAACTCGTCTGAATTTGAAACAGAACTGTCTGGAGCACAGAGATGGATGACTTCCACTGAGATAAAAGGGATACCCACTTTATTGAGAATATTAGATATCTCTGAATATTCAACAACAAAAATAATTTATGTTTCAATTTTTTCTTTGTCTCTTTTTAAAATTTTGTATAATATCTTGATTCAAGATATTCCTATTACAATATATTTGACAACAGGAAAACTGTTATTTTCTTTCAGCTAAAACTTCTACCACTAGCCTGACTACTAAGCAAAAAAGATGCCTGGCTATCTCATAAAAACTGAGGGAACAGGTTACTTTTCTAATAAAACTTCTGCTGGAAAATTCAGTTTCAATTCTTGTTCCCTGTTAAATTTCTCATTTGTGTCCAAAGATTCTTCATCCGTGAACTTACTCATTCCAAGCAATTCCTTTGTGTAGGAAACATCATAAAATTAGCAAGGGAATATCCTTTATTTCTATTTTGTCAAGATAAATCATATTTATTTTCCTATTTGATGGTGCCCTTACCATTAGCATGTAAGGAAGATGCATATGTAAAATAGAACTAATTTTAGGGTTTGTGTAAACAGAAAAAATTAGCCAGTATTCTTAAATGCAATCCCCTATTTTTCAGATTTCTATTCATTTTAAAAGAATATTTTAAAATTGGAAGATGAAGTTGATTAATCAAAGAAGTCAGTTTGGCT